GGTGTAATGTGAGAGGAAAGAAAAAGACAGGTTACTAGTGGTGCCAGCAACAAACTAGGTGGTGATAAGCTAAGTGGCACACCCTGCAGTATGTTACTAATAGTTACCTGGTAGCCTTGAAGTCCCAACCTTCTCTAGAATCCTCTTGCAAACGTGATCTCATCAGGACTAATATAATTAAAACATGAAATAAGTAAGGGACAATGGGAAAAGAACACTAGCTTTCCTGAAAAGAAAGATGACCAACTTCATACCTTCCATCCAGAGCTTCAGGTGCAAGAAGGCCAAATCTGTCTGCAAACTCATCAAAGGTTTTTCTAGTAGGATATCCAGCACAGCTAATCCTTATCGCCTCCATAACTCCCTAAAAATCACACATACAATGTAGTAAGCATAAACCAACATAACCAACAGCAAATTTAATTTACATGACCAATTATATATATTTAAACCAGCACATGAATCATAGCTGTCTTACCCCACAACGCAATTGCTGCAAAACATTTTTATGCTCAAAAATTGCTGGCTTAAGCAAATTATGGGTTTTACACACCGAATGTAGTGCGGCTCGGTGGCACTAAGAGTTTCAAGTAGCGATTGCAATTGTTGCTGTAGCACACATGAAAGGAGGATTTCCAGAACCAAAAAGAGTCAGCAAGCTGACCAGATATTATCAAATTTAAAAGAAAAACACTAACCTTAAATCGAGAACCTATTGAAGAGAACTTTGATTGTTGGATGATTCTTCAGGGGCAGGGGGAACAAACCGGATACAAAGGGGCATTTGGAAGCATAAGAAGTGCCTGATGTTCTGCAACAACATAATCTTTGTTCTTGTCCAGGAACAATTCAGTTTGATAAGTAACCTGAAAGTGTCAATGATTAGGTGTATGATTTTCCAAAGCAGAAAAAAATCACACTAGCTTTCTGGACCTATATCCTACGAATTGAACGTCCTACATTATCAACCAATCAATATAAAATATTAAAACCCTCTAAGATGTACTATTTATAAGCCATGAAACAATATGGCTCACTTCCTAATTCCTACTTTGTGCCATGCACAAGAAATGAGTCTAGTGAGTCTGAAAAAAGTAATGACAATCCCAACTTACGTCACCAGCATAATGCAATATTGTGAAGTCACTGCGTGATAATTTGGGCTTGCTGAATCTTCTATGGTTTTTGAATGTCTGATACCTTTTTTGAGCAAAAGTTTCATGTGTTGATCTAGGAAACATACTGCAAAATACACGAAACTGTTGAGCACAGACAAAAAAGGCTCAAAAAACACAATAAAGTAAAATTGAGAGTTAAGCTACATGTCCTGAGATATCAAGACACAGACACGTTATAACAATTCAAAGGTACAGTTACTTACCAGGCTTCATCCAGAAGAGCAATAATACCTCCAGGTTTCTGAAAATAACAGGAAAAATAAAAATAACAAAACGTTATTTTCAAGGAAGGAAAGAAAGGATGAGCGATACATCCATGTGTACATGAGCTGCAAAACCTAGTCAGGCTCAGTTTCTTTTTCATTCATTTTCAAGTTGTCATCAGAACCTAGTTCGTTAATAGTCAAAAGCCAAAATGAAACCATTTCTAATCTATTGTGAAAACATTTTCTCATCTCAATTTTTCTTTATATCATTATCACTATCAAGAAGCCATTACCACAAAGAACTGAGGCTATGTAATCAAAGTTAACCATCTTTTATTGGGCTCTTCAGCCCTTTTGTCGTTATAGTATAGCCATTTAATTTAAAGTAACACAACTAGTTCATATGTTTCTCTACCAATTCCAAAATCAAACTATTCTGGGGAGAGTCAAAACTGTAGTTAGTCAACTATTCCACCAAGTATACCACCCTGAATGCAACTTCGGTCATTTTCACCAAAAGATGAAACTGCAGCTTTAACTTTTGTTCAGTTATATTTTACAGTATAATGAAGCTACAGAGTATTTAAGTTGCCCTTCAGGTAAATATTCTACATGCTTCAAACTAAACTGTGACAAATTTATAGCCCATCAATGGCACATTTAATGCATATTTTTTTTAACCAGCAATGAGCATATCATACAAAATATGACACAAGAGACTACCCCAATCAACGGAAAATTTGTGCAGTCAGAAGGAAAACCTTTTCAATGAGATCCAGAATATCTTGATTGTCAACAAATTCAATGTAACTCCAATCAATCTCCTCTTTTTTGTATTCTTCTTGCTCCATTTTAAAAACATGCTGCAGAAAAAAATATTTGAGCATTAAAAGAGCACATGTTAACTCAAAATTTGTGTTTCTCTGTATAAATGTAAGAAGGCTGATAAGATGCAAGCAACTCTAAAGAAAAAAGGTCTCTCTATCAGTGACCAACCTGGTTAAAATGTTGCTGAAGCTTTTCATTTGTCAAATTAATACAAAATTGCTCAAAACTGCAAAGTACAGAAAACAACCAGATATACATAAGCTAAAATTATTCAGGGACACCAGTAATAATATGGAGAAAACAGCCCCATCATTCCAGACTACTGCTTAAATTTAATATACTTGTCCCCAAACCACCAACAATAAGAGTCTAAAATTAGCCCAACTATTGAACCTCCCAGATTCTGACATTCACAGAATGGTAAAGTTTGGACTTTTCTTCACCTCATTTTATGATCAACGTCACACTAAGAATAATAACATTAATATCATGTCTTTGTGGCATTTCCCACTTGCGATGCAAAGAACCTGATTTGATATTGTTAAACTCCCAAGAACATAAAAGACATTAAAATGTTAACTCATACTAAAATCACATGCAATTTACAAAATAAAACATCCTTTTGAATGCAGATCTATAAACTACTCAACCAAATCATAATTAATTGACTCCAGAAGCTTTGATGTTATTGAAAATTAAGGAGGCCCAACATCGTCCAAGGAAGAATCTAAAGTTATATTTGGAGGCTCCCTGTCTCAAATTATGGAAACTGGAGAATTTCAAAAAGCCGACAGCAACTTGTGTTAAATGCATGACTGATTGATGAACAAGCATTATATTTAATTCAAATTTTGTTAAATGGGGAACTAAACAACATTTAGAGATAACCACCAAAAGATTGCAAGTCAAAGGGCACAATGAGATGGAACTCTAAACAATATGACAACTTGAGAAGGAGACCAATGACCCCCAACAAATCTGTAACATTCTTTGGGTTGTATTTCCCGGAGGCTGACTTATGACTAACCAAAAAAGGCATACCACTAAGCACCTGTTATTTTTGAAACTCTCAAACCCATAAATATCCAGCACGCCAATTAGGGACTTTGAATCAGGATCTTGACCAATTGAACTATTAATTTTCTCCACCAGCCTGCAAAAGCACAAAAAAAACTACAGAAACAGCAGTTTGTGCTTGATGAAAATTGACCAAAATATCCATATACTGTTATATAGCTTCAAACTAATACATTTTTTGGCAACTTGCTCACAGGCTTACCAATCAAACAGCCTAGAGTAAACAATTTTAGCCAAAGCATCTCGGCTAAGTGCAGCAGCTTCTGGATCCAAACATTTTATGATGGTTTCATCACGAGTAACAATTACACGCTTGCAAAGAGAATCTTCAAGTGCCTTTGCATCACACCTGAAGAATAATTATGGACTAAGGATTAAATATGGAAAGGATAGAATGCAAAACTTGTAAAGAATGAATCATTTAAACATCACAAAAAAGCAAGGTTGCTTACATGAAAAGCTCAGCAGCAGTTTGTAGATGGAACATAGATTTTTCATCCTTGGGCATAGATGAGTCTATTTCCTTCCCTTTGGCAAATTCAATGTTTCCAAGATGCAAAATTGCAGCTACCACACGAAATATTGCATCCTGAAGAATTACAAGCAAAAATGGAGAAGACGATTAATGAAAACAGATCATTCTTTGTGAAATTCACCATGACCAAGAGAAACAACCCACAAATACCTGCTCCTCAGAACTCATTCCAACAACATCCATTGCTCTTCTTGTGGCAATATATTCTTTACCTTCATCAAGCCCTTCTATCTCATAGCAATTTGATTGATTTAGATAATGAAATGCTGCTGGCTTTCCCAACTTGTACTTCTTAACATCCTATGACAAAAAGACAACATACATCAAATACAAGAAAAATTAGCAAATTATAATGATAAGAAGTTATTTGCACACACGTGAAATTAAAAAAAAAATCAAGCCATTGCATATTCTGGGAACTAAGTTTTATTAAAGCTTTTGCTCAGCAGTATCTAAATCAGACATTATTCAAAGTCTGAAAGGTGAAAATTGGTGGTCCATTCTAGTGCAAAGTGGGTAGAACCACCCATTGTATGACCCATCATTCACAAGAGGTACGTGAAGAATCAAACTACTGCTATGTGTAGTACAATAAAGGTTAATGAAAACTAAACCATGAACATTCTAAAACTAAGCCTTTGAAAGTGTGAATTAGAAGAAAACAGGATCAGTGATATCCCAGCAAGCTAAAGTTTCATTACCCAATCTCTATCTTCTAATCTATCAGTGGCAAGAATAACGCAAGTAATCATATCAGCATGTACTATCATGATAAAGCAAACACGCCCTGCAACAAGCAGTTTATATTTAAAAATCTACAACAATGGTAAAAATAAGACAATCATTTATCATTTTCACCGAAACTAAGTTTGAGTCCACATTAGTATTCCCTGTGGAGAGTTCCTCAAATCTTAGGAACCAATCGAGAGGGGGGGAAAAGCACATAAAAAAAGCTCTGTATTTATAATTTGTCTTTTAACCAACGGCTCTTTATTTATAATTGATGATATGGTTCCTTCATTTTTTCCTGTCAATATAATCATAACTACCTCAGGAGGTGCAGCACAGAGCATGTAGAAACAGTGATAATTCCTCTCTGGATCTGACACCTGGCAGACACGTGATCTTTCCAGAAGATAAGTTCTTATGGCAGCTCCTGAAATTCTCCCCATCTGATCAAATTGAATCTCCACGAATTTACCAAAGCGACTGCAAGAAAAAAGGTAAAAATATAACATAAATAAAAGCATAGCATGCCAAAAAATTTGCTATAAATATACAAAAGCAGAAAAAATTTGTATATCATCCCACCTTGAATTATTGTTCCTAACAGTCTTTGCATTGCCAAAGGCTTCTAAAACAGGATTAGACTGCAAAGAACAAGGCATAATAAAGGGCAGAAAAAGCAAAGTTAAGTGAATATAAATTTAAGGTTGTATGAAACTGGATGCTGGAAAAGATTACAAATGCGAACAAACAAATTTACACTGGTCAAGTTAGCATGCTGAAAAATAATACTGAATAAGTTTACTTTTCTTACCTCCAAGACTTTCTGCTCAACAGTCCTACCTTCAGCAGCTGCTCGTCCTCCCATATAAGCAAGATAACGCATTAGTAATTTGGTACTCTCTGTTTTACCAGCCCCACTTTCACCACTGACCAATATTGATTGGCTGATTCCCTCATTAACCATAAGCCTGTATCGACAATTATTATTAAGCAGTCATGCTTGAAATACAATTAGATGGGTAATTTAAAGGACACAACAAGGTTTACCTATATGCAGCATCTGCAACTGCAAATGGATGTGGACTCAGCTCACCAAAAGCTGCCCCTTTATATTGTGCCATCATATGGCTATCATATAGATGAGGAAGCTTTGTAAAAGGGTTCACAGCAATCAATATATTTCCAGTGTAAGTCTGTAAGCACAATTTTGGGTATTAGCAAAGGTCAAGAGAGTAAAAATACATAAAATTCCCACTAAAAGCAAAAAAAAAAAAATGTATTAAGCCACATTTCCCCCACTTAAGGAGGACATTGGAAGGTCAGCATCTGAGATGCATACATAAATTTCATTGATATCATATCTCATTCTCAGGTTGTCCAGGACTCCAGGTTCATGCAGGTAAGCTAGCTTTGTCATATCATCCACTCCACATGATGGCACCTCAGTATCTTTAGGATGAATACTGGAAGCTTTAACAACCACCTGCATTTTTTAAGGCAAAAAGAGAAGGGTAAAAATCACAACGCTAAAGCATCAAATAGTTCTACACAAGAAGAGGATACTCACTGTTTTCCCTGAAGTGCAAAGGACTTTGATTGCTTCTCCATTAACATCCAAAACCTCACCATCAATCCAAGACACATCAGGATCCTCTACCCAAACATGGGACCCAACAACAGGATTGACAGCAGCAACCTACAATGCAAAATGTGACAACAGAATTATACATCCATGTTTCCCCTCTTCCAGTATAATGCATATTAAATCGCTAACAGTAAAAATGCATATAGGCAAATTAGAAAAGTTTGACACTTGAGAGAACATAATTGCTTTTGACCCCAAAAGTGTAACCTTTTTCATAGATAAACACAACAAAATTGTTGAATGAAAAAAAAAACAGAATTAACTCAGTTGCAAGAAGCAATTCCTTTAACTTACCTCAAATTAAAGGTGCAAACAAGAGTTACTATACTCATGCCATTTAGGGCATCAATAGACATCCCAAAACCATAAAAAAGTTCTACTCTATATCAGAACAGGTATTGGAATTCCAGTCAGCCCATCTTTACTTGTCTGCTTATAAAATGTTTCCTAAGCTACACAATTTTTAAATACTAATTTCAGTGGCATGAATTAATTAAGTCATGGAGAAGGTCACTTAAGCAACTCATCCACAAAGCTGGTTGCAACAAGTACCATTAGAGAACGTAGAACAATGTCTAGTATTGAAATCAGGACTGATATATGACTAAATTTAAAGGAGCAAACAAGTGAGCCAGGTGCCAAGAAAATATCTAATTGATAGATTGCGTCCAAATGTTATATTTAGATGAACACAAACATCAAGGATAAAGCAAAGAGAATATACAAGGGTTTACACCATTATTAATAAAGTATACATAATTCAAATGCAGAAAAAGGAAGGCATTAATATCAATTAAACAGTACAGAAAGTCATTACCACGGGCAAAAAAGGATGTATTTATGGTTTCCTAACACAAGCACCTTTAACCCTCGTGTGTGTTGCTTTCACGTTAAGCCTCAAAGAGTAAGGCCTGACCTCTTTGATTAAGTAACAGGTTCAACTGGGAAAAAGGGTGTAAAGACTCACTATAATATTGAAACACATTCGGAAACCACAATATGCTCCCGACTCGAGTCATTGAAAATCTATCAGATGCACAAAGAAGAGTGCAACAAATTAAATCTTTACTCCTATGAGGCAACCGTCGGGAGAATCCAGATAAGAGTGGTCACTACTTGAGGAAAATTCAGTTTAAAATGAATTAAAATTCAGGAAAAACCAGTAAAATTAATAGGAGATTCCTTCCAGACTAAGATCAAGTACCCAGAATTTAGTGCTTCCTGGTTCTCCAAAGAGCATTGGGGAGAAGAAAAACATTGTCCCTAGAATTGGTCTCGCATGGTGTTGTTTGCTAAATACTAATGGTCAAATCAACAATAAGAAGAAGCACCCCATTTAGAACGAGATCAAAATTCATTAGACAAACCAATTCTAAGAAAGCTAGAGATCGAATCCGGGGACTAGGCAATAGAAAGCCAATTAATTGATACAGAAGCACCAGGACCCCTCGTCCATAATTCCATTTCAACAAGAGTGGAATTTCTAGCTACTATGAAAACGCAAGACTTCGAATTGACTCAATAATGACCATAAAAAAGCCAGATAAATGACCAAAGAATACCATTTTGTGGGAGATTGATCGGATCAAAAACTAAGGCAGCTCCCGGATCTGCTTCCAATTCCTCCAGCAGATGCACTACTCAGCTCGAAATAAAGATCTACGAACTTATCCTCCTCGTTCAATGGCAGCACACCAATCTCGATGTGCGCTTTGAAACATCCGAAATAATGATGAAAAAGAATAGAAATACTATATATGAACTGGATGTACACTGACGAGAAAATGAGAAGCTTAACCCCTTCAACAAGACCAAAACTTTTGAAGAAGAGAATAAGCCCTCGTCTGCTTGCTATAGCAGCAGACCTGGCTTGTAGATGTTTTCTTTTTTTCTTTTATCGTGTTCTTGTTCCGTGTCTGCTATGCTATTTTCTGCAGATTTCTTCTTTGCTTGCCAACATCGTTTGTCTTCGTGACTAAGTTTATTAGTTAATGAAAATAGGATGTTGAATTAGCAGCAAGATTATGGCAAACAAAACGTCGCTTTATGAGGATGAAATCCCCGTTATGACCTTCAAGGAGGCTTGAATTACGGGGGGTAATTATGACAACTCAGACGAGGTCAGAGAGAGTCGCAACGGTAAAGATGTATATACCGTACCAAAATTAAAAAACGGGGACGCGCTGATTGCATGGTTTGCTTGGTTCCCACCATGTCCTGATTTCGTTGACTGTACACTTCACACTCAATATTTGTGACCAAACCGCGTCCGTTAAGTTGCAAATCAATACTTTTCTTAATTTGATTAATTTCCTTATTAGTTAGTATAAGAAAGAGAAGAAAACTTATAGATTTAACCGTATATACTTCATGTACTTGTATTCAGATAAATCAAGGCATGTGAATTATTTATAAATTATTTATTCCATGATAAAATCTTGTTATTGGTTAAACTAATATATTATTAAGATACATATATCATAGTTTAATTAAATATAAATATATTAAATATATAAGATTAAATATATAAGTTTTGTCTTAAAAAAATATAGCTTCCCCCTTAATGCAGGCTTTTGGGTTTATCCCTCCAATCCAAATTGTATAATATATATTTTTTTAAACTGAGTCTGCCTGCAAGCACGTTTAGTACTTTTTTAAATTTATTCTTATATCAGTTAACGTGGATATGAGAAATATAATTTGAACAAACACTTATTCTCGCTTTTCATAATAAAGAGGTCAGGGTAAAACATTTTATTTTTTTTTATGAAAGTAAAAAATAACTATTTTTATTGATATGTAAAATGTGATTGGGAGTCTTGCAATTTGAAGAACAGAGAACATCTGATGTATTCATGTGTACTTCTGTGTTTTTGTAGTTGACAGTGACGTGGAGCTTTGACTGAGATCAATGTGGAAGTGCATTCTAAGAGTTGATTGGAGAATTACAAAATTACAAACAAATGTGTATGTGGACATCAACCGACAGCTCATGGCTCAACTGAAAAGGCTACAATAGTCCAAGGAGAGTGTGAGTGAGGATATAAAGGAAGGTAAATTAATCTTTGAATTTTCTTCTTGTTTATGGATTTCAAATTTTTGAATTTCATATCTGATTAAAAAAAAATCATTTGCTTCCATCTCCCCCCCCCCCATCTTTGTTGCTTGCATGCATGGAAGATTATGTGTCTTTTGACTGAATGTGGCTATACATTCTTTTTTTCTTGGATGAAATACTGAATTGATTTGTTTTGAATTTAAACTTTAAAGTCATATCCTTTGTCATCGCTTTTGTTTTTCATAACCTTGGTTCTTTATTGTCGATAAGAATATTTTTTTCAGTGAGTTTGATTATCCATCGCTTGCCAAACTAGGCTAAACTTTATAGATTCCTAATCAAAATGCCCTTAAAAAAATGCACCATATACTCAAAAGCAGGCAAGTAAATTGAAAAGATGGGATAAAAAACGAGAAAAGGAGAAATACAATACATCAAATTTTTTTTTTGCCTGAACAATGATTTAAACTATATAATTCAGACTCTACTTACAGATCTATTATTCAACACGAGAGATATGATTCTGACTTCAGTGATTATGAATAGATATGGCATAAATTGAACAATTATAGAAATATGAAGCGAAAATGTGGGCAGGAAAAAAATAGCCCTAATTGAATATCAATGAGTAAGATAATAATGATTGGGAGAAGAACATGAGGTTTGTGGAGTAATATTGTATAAATTAAGATTAGCTGAGTTGAAATCATGTGTAATTATGCTAAATACGCACTATAAATTACTTAACGGTTAGGCATAAGAAGCAATCATCTAATCATGATATCATTTCTTGCAGGATACTAAAGTGAAGTGTCATTCTCGTGGTTATTTATTTATTTTAAAATTCTAAAAATGGAGTCTCATCCGGGGCCTTACGGCAGAATCGTAGATTCGCAGCATGGTAAAGGGCATCGAGTAATAAAAACAGACAAATAAATGAATGAAAGCTGATATTTTATTTATTTATTTATTCTGCCAGAATAATATATGGAGGGGAAAAAATAGAAGAAAACACTGACAGATCAACCAACAATACGAAGCCACGTGCCAAGGAAAACACAAGAAGCATAACAGTTAGATACCAAAACATTAAATTAATGATAATTATATTATCAATTTTTTTTAAACAATAAGTTGAAAATATTAATTCAAATAATTACAAATTTAAAAGTTTTAATTACAAATAAAAATTTAAATATCAAATGTAACTTTTAAATTATAACATAAATTTTATTTACAATTATTTAAATTAATATTTATAATTTATTAAGTGTCATCAATTCAATCTTTTGAATCTAATTATCTATTCCCTCACTCGCACTTGCCCCATGCTCTTCAATCTTCATGCCAGCTCGATCACACATTTTTACGGGTTGCGTTCAGACAGGCATCGCCTTTATTCTTTTTCAATATATATCTTGCAATGAAGGGAAAATAAGTTTCGAGCGGTGCAATCACAGCCGAAGGATGGACCCCAAAATTCCCCGCCTCTTTGTTTTGTTTTCGCCGTACTCGTGGGATGATTGTTTGCTTTTGAAAAACATCTCATCATTAAGGACCGTGTCTTTGCCTGTCAACGCCTTGATATACGGAGCCCATTAGGGTATTTGGGCCCATAACGGCCCACACCCCTCCCCTTTTCCAAAGGCAAAAGGATACTTGGCACGTTGACATCTCTCCACCTAAATTAGTTCACCAGGGAAAGAAAAGCAAGGTTTAATAATTCAAGACATGCTATGCACACGAGCTCCTGATATTGACATTTTCGTCCTTAATATTTCTTATCAATCCGGCCGTACGAGTTCTGCTACCTGACATAGACATGTTCTTACTTATGTCAAACTCGCCAGGTCAACTACGTGCCCTGAACAAATAAATCAACATTTTATTTTAATTAACGCAAATTAAGTTAGCATCACCATTGGAATTCTTCAGGCAATTTGTATAAATTTATAACCAATACGATATATCATTTCTTGCAGGCGTATCACAGGAAACAGCAAGGATTTCGTCTCAATACCATGGTGCCTCTGTCTAGGTCAACCCTGAATGACATTGTCTTCTTTGCCACAACTCGTTTTACTTGCTTTTCAAACATAAATTTCATCTTTAAATATGATCGTGTGGGAAAAGAACCACGGCAATCAATTCTGATATCGGATTGATGCGCATCCGGCGCAAAATAAGCAGGAGGAAGCCACATTCTTCTATCGAATGAAATTTATCATAAATTACAATAAATTGGAAGCAGCAACACAAATCACAGAAATAAAAGTCACTACCGGGATGAACACTAGCACATTTAATCCTTAATAAGTGCTTCCGAATCCCTTGCCCGGAAAAATTCTTAACATTAATGTCTGCGAGCCCTCAATGAAAGGAAAAAAAACCACCAATCCTGAGACTTATGGATCCAGTTTCTCATGTTATTCATTACTTTGATTCCCTTTCCTTCGCTCACCTTTTATCTCTTGTTAAACATGGGCCGGCTAAAACTGGCCAACAAACAGTAATGATCGCTATAAAATGCGGTCGCCAGTATACGGCCGAACACCAAACACCTGCAGGAAATGCCTAAAGTGAAATATGCAGTTAAAATATACACCAGTCGGTTACCAAAAATGCATAATCTAGTCTTCACTTTCGTTTTATATTATTGATTAAAATAGATGCATTTCTTAATCTAGTTCCTCAATTTTTTTCAAAAAAACTTAAAATGAAAATATTCCCAATTTAGCTTGTTATAAATGCTCTATAAATCTATCAAAGCCAAATTAACATGTCATAACATGATATTATATTACAACTTATTACTTAATCACCGTTATATAATATGTCAATTGACAGTAGGTTGATTATTTCACTAAGAGTAGATACAAATTTGATTTGCAAGATAACTCTGATTCCAAAACTCCACTTTCTCCAACATGGTTACTTTATATATTCTTTATGCTCTATAATTTTATCATGGAATGGGGATGCTTGGATGACACCATGCATCAAATCAAAGTTACCATTAAAATTTATATGGCACAAAATTTGACCTCAAAACTGAAGATAAATAAATAGGGCAATTAGCAGACAACAATCCGGGTTAACAGTAAGGAGGAAGAAACCTTCTCTGAACAATAATTCTGGGTCGCGTTTTAGGCAGGGATATATGACTCCAGAATCAATTGTGCTGGAGAGGGTGATCTGATCTCAACAATCAAGTATGTAAACTCCCATCCTTTGTCCACTTGATTTTTGAACATCTCACAGAAAACTTTCCCACTTCCATGGGGTCCCCGAATATAGAAATTAACCTGTAACCCAAAGAGCCATCGTTAACAACAATCAACACAGCCGCTGGAAACAAAAAAATAAGGTCTTATTTGGTTACTAGAATAGAATGGATCAAAAAAATTGAGACAAAAATGAACTAAATTAACCTTCTCTCATGATAAGTATAATAAAACTCATTAACACATATTACAAATGTGAAAATTATTACACCCTTCAAAATCTCATGAATTATGATTCCCAACCCCATGAACTAGATTATTCCTCCTACTTATGAATGTGTTCACCTATCCCCTTTAATCATCTTATTTTTACCTTTATTTTTTTCAATCCATTTCATTCCATTTCTTTCTCATAAGCAAACGGGCTGAGAGAATTGCAAGCATATATGAAAGAAATTCAGCACAAACTTTGATGAATTTTTCCTGTACCTTTTGTTTTGTTTTGTTTTGTTTTGTTTTTTTTGGGTTGGGGGGGGGGTGAGGGGTTGTGGAATGGAGTTGTACCAGATGGTCCAAAAAAGAAAGAGTTAATACATATATTAATAAATACCTCAACATGCTCGACCCCACCTTCATCAGTCCAAACCTTGTTGGGAACTCGTTGCCGAGCAGCTCGATTTCTACTCTCCTGACCATAGCCAGTAATTGGGGATCCAATCCTCACCCTAACCTGATACAATACATTGAAACAGTGGATGAGTTTTACTAGGAAAAGTGACCGCTATTCATTAGCACGACTAACTTGCAAAACATAATACAACTTTACATTCATCCACTCTGGTAAAATTAGCTGTACCAATGACATTTTATTTTATCGCATGCCTTCAAAGCATATGTTATTTTGTCTCCGAAAGTGGAGCAACGGCTTAATAAGAAAATCCATATTTAAAAATAAGAAATTCAGATCCATCGATATTTGTTAAAGCTTGTCATCACCTATTTAACCTTTATCTCACCAAAACCATTCGCTACTCCTTTAAAGCTATCCTTGCATTGACCTTATCCAATGTGATCCAAAATGACTAGCTTCTTCTGATGCCCAAATACAAGTGAACTTGGACAATGGTCTGTCTCTCAAAGATTCAATCTCCTTAACAAATAAGTTCCCCTTTTGGATTTCCTTCTTAGTTCAGGAAAATACACAAGGAAAACAGAGTTATTCACCTGACTGTCATTTTGAATTCTCTTCAAAGCCATGTTAAATATTTTGTACCTGCCACCAACTTTTGAAAATCAGAGGAGGATAAAATAAAGATAAAAACCTTCATGCAACAATCATAATAATTCTCAAAGAACATAATTCAAAATAAAATTAAGCTATTTACTCTTTGGGTTCAAATATAAGCTCCTTGAAAACAGCATATCCTGCAAGAGCTGCAATTCCAAGCCCAGCAAGGATTATGACACTGTAGGATGCCCCCTCTACAAATGTTACTGGCTTCTCTGGAATATTGTATGTAGGAGCATCAAAAGGATCCTCAACAGTTGATATGTCTTTTTTAGTCTGCCAAAGTGGGAAGTGAAGGTATCAAGGTGCTTGACCCATTTTGACAACGAGTTTTGACAATATGATTGATAATTCTTGCTTACATTAAATAACATCTAGAACTCTAATGCAGGATGAACTTTTTTTTGGCAGCAACAATTGAAGGTCACAACCACATTATCCAAATTTAAATAGAGGGAACGCAGAAAAGGATGAAATATTTCATGCTTATTACAGAATGAAGAAAAGGCAGTGAGCTCTCGGAATTCAACCCAACCATCTATTTTGTGGGAAGACCACCGGCACGTTACAGTTCCTAACCATTTAATCTATTAAGCATGTCATACAGTTTAATCAAGTCAATCAACCACAAGTTAAATAGTGACACTAACTACAAAATGTAACACTGTTTCTTCAGCATATGCAGAAGCCAAAAAAGGAGGAAATGATATAACAACGGCACAAGATTTTCACAGCAAGATTTTCACAGCTTAACCTCATTTGTATTTTCTCCTTGTTTGCTTGATGCCCTTGAAGAAATGGATTTGGCAAAAGAAAAACTGATGGAGTCCGATCCATGGTTCACCCTAGGCAGATATGGAGACTGACAACTGGCTGTACATGTTCTGGAAAACCATCCACTAAACTGAACTGTCATTCCTGCATATTTCATTAAAAGCATAACTTTTATAAAAGTTGATGTCAAAATCATACTTTTATATTCACATCCCAGGGGTTAAAGAAAGATCAATATCTGGGATTCACAGGCCAAATTAGACATCATGAACCTAACTGCTGTAACTCATCAAGCATTGTCAAGTCATAAAGTCATAAGCAAAATATGAATTCAATGGTTTTTGAGGTAAGGGCCTGATTCACAGATTCAAATCGACAGCAAGTTATGCATGCTCTAAAACCCAGAACCCTCACCCAAAAGAAAAGAAAAACCATATTCTTCCAAGAGCTAGTGAAAGACATTTTAAATTCTTGGGTTAAGATTCAGTCATATGTAAATACACAACGGTGACCAACCATTCGCTCCTGGTATATCCTGCAGAGAAATAGGAAACCATAATAAATGAGTGTGGAATTAGGCCTTCAACAACAAATAAATAAAATTAGATAGAAAAAATCCTTCATTGTAACAAAGAAACATAGTCTCCGTAATCAACATATCACTTTGCTACTTAAAATTTCAAGCATCTAATAAACAAAAATCAAAACACCAATGACACTACCATACAAGGTCCCAAGCTCCCGGAGTAAATTTTCCACCATACTTGAGAGAAAATCCAGGAAGGGATGTTAGTATAGTGGTAGATGGCATAAGTTTCAGGCATCAGGTCCCGCGTTCGAATCTAATGAAGACTAGGAAATCTCATTTTTACGATGGATGTGCGGACATACACGTAAAGATAAAATTCGAAATGAGCACATACGTGAAAAAGTGAGGATGGCACCTATTGAGGAAAAAATGGTAGAAAATCGGTTGAGATGGTTTGGGCATGTACAAAGAAGACCAAGGGAGGCACCAGTGAGAAGAGTGGAACATATAACTTTGAGTCCGATTAAGAGAGGTAGAGGAAGGCCTAAGAGAACACTCTTGGAAGTTGTTGAACGTGATCTCTTAATTAATAATATTTCTAAAAGCTTAATAAATGATAGAGCACAATGGCGTCTTGCAATCCATGTAGCCGACCCCACCTAGTGGGATAAAGGCTTGTTGTTGTTGTTGTTGTACTTGAGAGAAAATCCTACTATAACTGTAATTTATAGAAAAATATATTTTCTAAAGGGAACAATATTCAACTCAAACTACTTATAACGAAATGTTCATCAACTATAACATAACAAGTCCTCACCAGATACTCATATTTTGTAGAAGCAACAGTCTATCATTGATGGCGCCACCAAAAAAAAAAAAAACTGTCGATCATAAATGCCTTGGCTGAATTGAAAGATTTCACAACATGCAATACATTCTTCTTCTTCTTTTTTCTGGGGTAAAACATGCAATACATTCATTAGTTATAAAATTAACCATTATCGACCCTTCGGGATATAAAATTAACCAGTATCGTGACTCTCGATGAGGTTTGGAGAACAAAGATGATCTCAACAAGGGTTTCAGGGAATAGTCAGGCTAAGACGTACAGACAAACAATGGCAATTTGTACAGCATGCATTGCAGTATTCTCGGTATTAGAAAATTCCGACATTTTAATACGGGTTTTGAATGTCTAATGCAACTTTCCGTGCATCCTCTCCATCTCCTCCCATAAACAACAATTTAGAAAAATAAAAAATTTAAAAGGGACCCACTGATTATGCAGTTGTGAGAGAATATAGAGAGAAAGTTGCATTAGACATCCAAAATTCATTTACAGAACTTGAACTCCAGTGCATGCTTTGCACATTTCAAAATGTAGACGAGATGCAATTGTTTGAAGAATAGATAAACGTACAGAAAGTGAAGCGCACACTGAAAACAAATGCCTACGCAAATTCGAAAGCACAAGTGACAACTTCACCAGTGAGTTCCAAGCAATGAACCAATAACAAAAGAGTTACCAACAAATCTACATTTTTTTACCTTCTTAACCTGCCCCACCCGAGGAATATCAGCAGGTTGCAAATGTCCCGTCTGATGCATTAATGATCGCGTTGTTGGGTACTTCCAGTGCCTAAGATTCGATAACAACTTCATATCGTATAGTTGTCTAATCCGCCGCAAATCCGAAATATATTTGGACGCGCCTGAGGAAAGAATCACGTTTGATCAAGAAACAAAATTTGTTGACGAGCAAGATAGAGAAACCTCCGAATTTCAAAACTTCCGTCAACTACATACAATTTGCACAAGCATGTTCCAAGAAGCAAAATAAACTAGTTAGGTTATTAGGGAATACAGAATAAGTTTACCCATGAAAAAATGGATACGTTAAATGAAATCCGCCTCTTCAAAACTCAATGCCTAATTCATTCAGTGAGCGGATAAAGCGAAGAACCCTAAACCCCTGATCAGAGTTTTGGGAAGACAGTGATCGCGCTCCATTTTTTTTTTTTTTTTGAGTCTTCTTTAATGATCTAGCCTATCAACATACAGTCTAGCTTGTCAATTTTATTGCCCGTTTCTTTGGGTAAATCCAATTACTAAGCACATGGCCCAGTTGGCTGTCCCCCAAAATTTCTTTCTACATCAACGGACAGCGGGAGCCTTTTCTGACGGTAAATAAAAAACCATATTTTTATCAAAATCGATTTTAAAAAAATAACATTTAAATATGATCACGTTGTAACATAATAAATTAAAATTAAAATCAAAATCAATTATATTAATTAATTTTTTTTATAATCAAATTTTCAAACTAAAATCCAAGCACACTTTGTTAATTGGTGAAAAAGGGACTCGTTTTCATCCCACAAAAATTATAAGAATGAAAGATAGAAAGTAGTATTAGTGTAGTTTCATTTTTTCTCTGAAGTGAAGTCTGCTTAATTGATTTAAGAACATCCATTCATTTGTTTGGGATAGCCCTTAAATAATGTTCAAATTTTTCGAAGAACTAATCTCATGAGTGTCAATTGTGAAAATATCTTGAAAAAAAAAATTGTCATCTGCTTACAAAAAAAAAAAAATCATCATCATCAAACCGAAGAATACAAAAAAAAGCAGAAAAAAAGTTCTTAACTCTACTTTAAAAAAAAAAAAAATAGCAACGTCTTAACTCTTTACAAAATAACCATGATTCTGTTTTTTTTTTTCCATGACAAATTCCCAAGTCTTATCTGATGCTTAATGTGATAATTAATTAAATAATTTAAAATGGAATAAACAAGATACATCACAGAGGAAAACTAATGTCCAGTGCTTTATTGATCTCACAATCTTAGCCCTGTTCAATTAAATATAACATATCCCAGAAGAAATATACAAAAGCCTATCCTTCAGCACAGGCAAAAGAACAATGCCCAGAAATCTCTAGCTTAAAAAGGATGCCAAGCGTGGGTCCGTACGGTGAGGAAGACCAGTTCGAGCACCCAGAGCTCTGCATTTGGCAGCTGCCTGCCGTCATCACGAAATTAGCAAAACTGTACTGCAAATAAAATTCCACCTTTCATATTTTCCTATTTTCCCTCTTTGTTTTATTGGCCACTCTGAAATATGGATAGCGTTTTTTCCTTGAATTGCAAGCAACTTACCACTTGAGAGGCGAATGGCAACATTTTCTCGGGTAACATGTTTGCACAGATAGCTAGAAACAAGTAAGATAACATAAGTATATTACTAAATCTTAAAATAACAATAGAAACCAACAAAATTTGTCAGTCATGAATTGAAAAAGATGGACAGGATATTGGAATATTGGTAAATTGGTAAATGATACATGAAGGATGAAGACAATGACATCCATTATCGTAAACTTTTTTTTAGGTAGTATGATGACACGAAAACTCATCCTCGCAATCTACCTGAAGCCCCATCCCAGGGCCCTTATAACCATGTCTGCTTTCCTCTCAAGTGGGCAAACTATTGATCTGGAGACACGTCGTTATCCAAGTTCAGTATTCATTTATGAGAGTATTTCTCAAGGAAAAAACACAAACAACTACAGTCCACTAGCTAGATGGCTAAGGAAGAGCTAACCCACTGATGAACTGAATCTGCAGGTAACTTCAGGAAGAAATAAAGCCAAATGAAAGTAAAGCACAGTTTCTAGTAAATTTCACTATGTCGAGCTCTACGTCAAGCCAATTCCAATAATATCATTGAGAGCATATATCAGATATAAGATTAGACCTACCATAAAGAATGGCTCCAATAAATGCATCCCCAGCACCAGTTGTATCAGTCAGTTCATAAGCCGGTATCTTCTCTGCTGTTCCAACAAATAAACGTCCACATACGGTCCCTATTCCATTTGCTCTTAATTTTGTCACGGTCTGAGAAAGAGAAAAAAGTGCATTGAACATGATCCTCTAACTCAATGCTAATGTTATGGAAGAAGACATATTCATATTAAACTAGAATTTATAGAAATTAAAGTTTACACTGATATTTTACCGATGATATACAAGTTGGGATAACCAGACTATCATCTTTCTCTTTGTATAGGGATTCTGTTACATTGTCCACATCCCTTTCTTCTATCTCGGTACCCTCTGCCAGAACACGGTATAAAGTTAGAAGTAAAATACCTTCTTGGAACACAAATATCGAATGCAAAGCAACAGTTTTGAGACACTAAGTGAAATTGAACTGGCCAAGTGTAAATTCACCAGTCATGCTTCTCTCCAGCATTATACATCCATCTTCACCCAGAGTCACAATCACAAATTTGATATTCGGCAATCTTAAAAGCATAGAAACTAGTGCGCTTGGAATAGATGGTGCTTGGGTCCACGCCTGATACAAAAAGGAGCACAAATAATGCACCCAAGTACAATAGACTTTATGGTAAAAAAACACACACTAGACTTTAAAGAATTGAACATAAGCAGAAGCATATGTAACATACATGTAAACTAAAGCAGCAATCCCACATAAAGACAATTCAACCTCATCATATTGTTTTAGAAAAACATGAATTGGAAGTGTATATAGAAGGTGTCTGAACTCTGAAGAGGATCATGATTCAAAACACAACCCATATTCAGCTTTTGCATTTTAACCAGTTTGTTACAGACGGTCAAAAGCAAAGTCTACAATTGTAGCAAATTTTGCATGTTGATACACTTAAGAATTCATAAATTGTCAAAATAGATGCATATAACACCACATAGAGATAAGAGTCAACCAAAAGTTCCTCATATTAATGACAGAGGAATCAAAGTACCTGTGGAAACCTTGCAGAGCATACAGCATAATCAGCAAGACCCAGGAGCTCATCCAATCCTTCCCTCACTGATTCTGCCTCAACTAAAATAGGTATGTTATTGTGGGCTGCCTGCATTTAAAAATTTGATGACAACTATTTACTGCTCAGATCCAGAATAATGGTAATGATTCCCTCCAAAGCCCCACTCCTTCCCAGGCTTCCATGATGGACCCCATTCAAGACAATGTGTGCTACATGTAAAGAGTCTTAGAATTCTAGTCCATGTCACCAAGCTGGGGAAATATTATGTAACCACATCAATGTTTCTTGAATGACGTTGGGAGTGACAAAATTATAATAGTTCATCAGATAACAGGATGCAGGGCTTAACAAATTACAAGATCAAGAAATGGTAATCAACAAGATTGATTATTTCATTAAATCCATTCGCTTAGAAACATTTACATTTATCACAACCTGTGCTGAATACAAGGACACCTTGTCACCTAGTTCAAGTCATTGCGTAATAAATTCACAATCTTCTAGAAAGGCTCACACTGATAACAAAATGCATCTTGCTTGTTTCGGTAAAAGTTTTAACTTTCCAAGAAGTTAAGGCTCACACTTCCTTCATAACTAGGGAAGTAACTTAGTGAGTAATACCTAAGTTCTACTTTCCCATTATTTTGTCTTTCAAATAAAAAGTAATATATCTTTTTAATGCCGAAAATTGCAACTTCCTGGGAAATACAAAATTAACCAAACAACTCATATATTAACTTCCCATGAAGTATACTTCCTGGGAAGTTATATTTCTTGGGAAGTTTAACTTCCTAGGAAGTAAAGCAAATGAACCAAGCAAGCATTAAAAGAACAAAAAATACATTCATCACTGCAAAATCTAAATACAGACTGGCTAGCTGGGCAAGCCACATAGGAGTCACTTTAGTGCCTAAATTGATCAAAATGAAAAAGCTGTAAATGAAAATAAAGTTTCTAGGAAACTCCATGGGCTTCATTTTAAACCCAATTAGTGTAGTTTTGGGTGTAAATCCCCTTAGATAATTGAAGAGATTAAAAGCAAAAGCAAGCCAATAATTACCTCATGTGCAACAAATAGTGCCGTTTCAGTTGATGTTCCATCAGAATAAACTAATTGTGCTTCATTAAATGCAGATAACAGCATTGATTGGGACAGGTCAGTTGGCATCATGGGCGGGTCTCCAGGGGTAGAAATGCATGTACGAGTTTTTCTGAAAGTATCACTTAGAATTAGTTTACATCCTCGGTCGAATACCTCAGGTATGGGCAAGAATATTTTTATATTCTAATGCAGAAACTCAGCCAAAAAAACATCAAAAGAAATATGGACAAGCATTTTCATAATAAATTCTGCCAGACCAGCTGCATTTAAACCAGTAGTCGTTATTTGTAAGGGTGGGTTTATGACAGAAGATTAAAATACGTTGCCCATGAACAAGCTGGGAAACTTCCTAAAAGAGCACTTCTATAAGTATTTTAAAGTAAAAAAGGGTGATTGTTGGCTTAAAAAGGTTATTTTTCATCTTGAATATGAACAAATCAATGCACCTCTATTCATGACTGTAAATATGGAAATTAGATAGGACAATGGCTAAGCAGAAATGCCTTTAAGTTTAACCAGAAGGTTATATATATTGTTTTCATAAGGGTTACTCAAAAATATTAGCGGGATGTAGGGGGTGAAACATACTATGAACTGCCTTACGTTTGGTTGTCCACAAGCACATATGAAAATGTTGAACTACCGTCCTTGGAGACCTAAACAACCAAATTCCCAACTCAGGAAGGGATAAGGGGGAAAAAGAAGAAAGACAACCAAAGACAATTGATCAAAAAGCAAAGAAGATTAAACTAGAGAGATAATAGGAAGAACATTATAATAGAGAGTCCTTTTTTCACGATAGATTACGAATGGTACGCATGAATCTTACAACAAAAAAGGAAGTATCCACCCCATCAGCTTCCAGCTCCTTCAGTATGCCCCTGCCTTGGGCATCATCAGAAACCTAAGGAATGCCCAAAAAAGTTTGTCACAGCTTAATATAATAGATTATGAGCCATTCAATCCTGCTCTGCACCTCGGACCATATACTAAGAAATAAGATGCAAAAGATAGTTGAAAACCTTGGAGATCAACTTTGGTTTTAACCCCAGGCGAGCAGCACAAGTTAAAGCATTACCAGCATTGCCACCTCCTTGAATCTAGAATCATACAGAAATGATCAAATTTCTTATCATACATCTTAAAACTAATTGGCTAATATTAATGGCACAAGGCATGCATCAATTTAATAACTCATATGAGGCAATAGATTAACACGAAAAAAGAGCCAATGGAGGGCAGCAAAAGGTCAGCAGGCGAAGCGAGAGGCAATGTAGAAGAAATGAGAGTCTTCTAATGGCATTTTTGAATTAAGTGGAACAAATGAATTAAGTCTCACTGCATTGTGATTGTGTTGTTAGATATTTTATTATGTCATATAATATATTTGATTATTAGTTATTATATTTTCAATTAAATAAAATATTTTGAGTGTTGCCCACTAATCAATTGTTAACTAGGTCTAGGTTTAGGGATATCATTAGTTATTTATTTAATTATGTAAAAATAGTCTGACGAATTAAATAAATTAATTTGGGTTTTTTTTTTTGGATATTTTATTTGGTTAAGATGATGTTTGAAAAATTATTTTGGAATCTATTGTGAGATCTAAATATTTTGGGAAAGCAATTGTAGCTATTTAACATACTAGAAAACTTTACAAAATTTGTCTTATTTGTTATTTAATTGTCCAAAAAAGATATGAAAAATTGATTTTAGGCAATTATATGATTGTTTAAGTTTGCAAAGTTACGATTGAATTTGCTAAAATTAATTATTTGGTACATTAAATAGTGGGAGAATTTCTTCTGGTTATTTAATCACACATCAATATAGTTGATTAAATTGATTGCTTAAATTATCATAAAGGTTGAGCATATATGGATGTAAATGCACATTTGATATTTGTGATTAGCATGTATTTTATTTCCTCAAGGAGCAGCCACAGCATCATTAGATTTGTTGCATGCACTATTAATCACGTATAGACTTTCAAATATCAATTGTAATTAATTATGCAATTATAATTTATCTTTGCCCACGGGTAGATAATTATAATTACATATTTAATTAGGATGGAATAGAAGTGAATTTGCATCTTCTAATAACCTACAGTTATCAAGAAATATAAATGCAATCTAGTTTCATTGATTAATAGATAAATACATGCTATGCTAGCGTCTTTGCCCACAGGTAGAAATTAGCGACACGTACTTATAATTCTATGAATTGTTTGTCCAGCACACATGTATGGCACAGTATTGCAATTGCCTTAAGACTGATATCTAAGTGTATTTGACCTTTACAATTCTGCAGTTCCAATAGCTACTCCCAGAATTGTTGCTAAAGTAAGCAACAAAATAACCCTGGATGGTACAAATTATCTGGATTGGAAGGACGATGTTTTGTTGCAACTTAGCTCCTCGGACTTGGATCATGCTTTAAGGATTGATGAACCCCCAAAGCCTGCAGATGACTCGGGTGACCAAGACGCTAAGAATTACTATGATTAATGGGAAGGCTCAAATTGCCTTTGCCTCATGCTCATTCAAAATCAGATCCAAAGGAGCATTTGGGGTTCCATCCCCAAATACCGCACAATGAAAGAATACTTGCAAGTCCTAGACAAGCACATCAGACCATCTAACAAATAGTTATGTGGAACAATAATGTTTGAGTTATGTAGTATGCGACTTGTAGGTGTTGGAGGGGTTAGACAGCACATAATTAAAATGAGGGACCTATCTTCACAGCTCAAACCCTTTGAGATGGAACCAACCGAGCAATTCCAAGTACAACTCGTTCTAAATTCCCTTCCAAATCAATATGAAGCCTTTAAGGTCTCCTATAACACACATAAAGAGAAATGGACAGTGAATAAACTATTAGCCATGTGTGTTCACGCAGAAACGAGGCTGCTGATAAATGGGAGAGCTACACCTAAAGAAGCTCATCTGGCTAAAAGTTTCAAGACTACTGGCAAAAGGGAACATATAGGGAAAAAGAAAAATAGAATTGCTCCCACCTCAATTAAAAACAAAAGGGAAACTAAGTGTTTCTTCTGTAAAAAGAAGGGGCACATAAAGAATGAGTGCCTCAAAAGGACAGCTTGGCCGGAAAGGAAAGGTAAGTTTACTTGTTGTGTTACTTTTGAATCTCATTTAATTGGCATCAACAATGACAGTTGGTGGATTGATACTAGTTCTATGATCCATATCTCACATACCATGTAGGGCTTTCTAAACAGAAAGCTTATGTACCCCAATGAGGAAAAAGTCTATTCAGGCAATGGGATGTGGGACTATGTAGTAGTTGGAACTTTTCGCATTATTTTATCAAATAATGTTTGTTAGACCTTTTTGAAACCTTTTATGTTCCTACATATAAGAGAAATTTGATTTTCATGTCTAAGTTAATTCCTTTTGGCTGTGGTTTGAATCTTGCAAAGGATTTTATGAGTTTTAATAAGTATTTTGTTCCAATTGCAAGTGTTATTTTAATTCATGGTTTATTTAAAATTAATTGCAATTTGGCTTAATCTTTGGTTGTTACTCATGGTATTAAGTGAAGTGTCATTAATGAGAATTCTACTGGCTTGTGGCATAGGAGATTGGGACACATGTCCATTGAAAGAATCAAGAGGTTAAACTATTCGAAACTTGGTTCTTGTGTGGACTACATCAGGGGAAAGTAGACCAGTAAGTCACACAAAGAAGCTAGGAGAGGTTCTGAATTATTTGAGATTGTACACAGATATTTGTTGCCCTAATTTAAATGCAAGGGGTCAAAAATATTTCATTATCTTTATTGATGATTTCTCGTGATACATGAATGTCTACTTGCTTCATAAAAAAGTAAGGTATTAGATGCCTTTAAGGAGTATAAAGCAGACATGGATAAATAAATTGGAAGACCAATTAAGATTGTGAGATCAGATAAAGGCAGTAAATATTATGGTAGAAGCACTAATGAAGGACAAGCACTTAGTCCATTTGCAGAATTTCTTCAAGAGCATGGGATAGTGGCTCAATACATTATGCTTGGCTCACCTAACATAAATGGTATGGCTGAAAAAAAGAAACAAGACCTTGCTAGATATGGTGAGGAGCATGTCAAGTAGCTTCAAACTTCTAGTTTCCTTAGGGAAGGAAGCACTTAAGACAGCTACATACATACACCAGGTTCCAACAAATGTTGTGTCCAAAACATCCTTTGAAATCTAGAAGAGATGGAAACCTAGTTTGAATCACTTTAAGGTATGGGGTTGTCCTATAGAAGTAAGAATTTATAACCCACAAGAAAGGGAATTAGATTCTAAGACCGTTAGGACATATTTTGTTAGATATGCTGAAAGGTCTAAAGAATAGATTCTATTTTCCTCCACCTTTAAAAAAGTTTGTAGAATCTAGGAATGCTAAATTTCTTGAGAATGATGTGATTAGTGGGAGTGATCCTTTACAAGATGATCAAATAAAGGAAACCACTAACATTCATAATGAAGGAACGTCAATGATCAAAGACTCTCCTCTAGTTAGAATTGTCATAGATCATAATGAGGTTTCTAGAACTCAAATTGACAACGCTAGAAATTAGGAACATATACTGGCCAATGAACCTATCACACATGTGGAACAACCATAAGAAGTGATAGAACATGCTCCTAATGAGCAACTTGAGTCAACTTAGGAGGTTGGATTGAGAAGATCAATTATACAAAGGAAATCAGCATTACCTAGTGAATATGTAGTATATTTTACCAAGTTTGACTGTGATGTAAGTGTTGAGAATGATCTGTTGACATTTTCTCAGGCTATAAAAAGTGTAAACTCTAAATTGTGGTAATATCATGATGGATAAGATGGAATCTACGGGAAACAATATTGTTTGGGAACTTGTAGAGCTACCTAGTGGGAATAAGGCCATCGGCAGTAAATAGGTTTTCAAAACCAAAAGAAACTCACAAGGTAGCATTGACTGCTACAAAGCTAGATTGGTTGTTAAGAGTTTCACTCAAGTAGAAGGAATCAACTATAGAGAAACCTTTTCTCTTATATCCAAGAAAGATTCATTCTACATTATCATGGCATTGGTTGCACACTTTAATCTAAAGTTGCACCAAATGGATGTTAAAACAACATTCCTTAATGATGAACTCAAGGAAGAGGTCTACACGAAATAGCTTGAGGGATTTATTGCTAAAGGAAAGGAGCATTTAGTTTGCAAGTTAAAGAAATCAATTTATGGTCTTAAACAAGTTTCATGACAATGGTACTTAAAGTTCCATGAAGTAATCACATCCTTTGGACTTGTTGAGAACATCATGGATGAATGTATATACCACAAGGTTAGTGGGAGCAAGATCATACTCTTAATTTTATATGTGGATGACATTTTGCTTGCAAGTAATGATTTGGGACTATTATGTGAAGTAAAACAATTTTTGTTCAAAAGTTTTGAAATGAAGGATATAGGTGAGGCTTCTTATGTCATTGGCATAAGTATCCATAGAGATAAATCTCAAGGTACTTTATTCCTATATTAACAAGATTCTTGAACGATTTAGGATGAAAAACTGTTCTTCCAATATGGCTCCTTTTGAGAAGGAGACAAATTCAATTTGAACCAATATCCTAAGGATGAGCTTACGACAAAGGTGATGGAGAAAGTCCTATATGCCTCAATAGTAGGAAGCTTGATGTATGCATAGGTTTGCACAAGACTTGACATAGTTTTTGTTGTGGGTATGTAGGGAAGGTACCCGAGTAATCCATGAGAAGCACATTGGACTACTACAAAGAAGGTCATGAGGTACATACAAGGTACTAGTCATTACATGCTCACATATAGAAAGACAGAAAATCTTCAAGTGATTGGATACTCAAACTCTAACCTAGGAGGATATATGGACATAAATAAATCTGCATTGGTTACATCTTCCTACCGGCAGAAGGAGTTATATCATGGAGAGATGCGAAACAAACACTTGTGACTACTTCTACATACGAAGCTGAGTATGTTTCATGTTTTGAGGCAAGCACACAAGCAATCTAGATGAAGAATTACATTGCTGGGCTTAAGATTGTGGATTCAGTCTTTAAGC